TTCTCCCCCTTACCCTCCGATCCAATGGATTACGATTTCAGGAACAGCGCAGCCCCGCAGTACGGGGCAAAGATACCGACGTACCGGCAGCCGTCATCGTCTTCATCAACACCGTCAATCCAACCGGTGTACGGATCTTCCATGTACCCGAGGGTCGGTCAACCCGGCCACAACGTAGTTCCCCCGGCGCCGCGTCCCTCCTCCGTTCACCACACCTCTTCTTCGTCCTCTTCCTCTTCCTGTGAATCTCCTCTTGCTCGTTCATCGTCTTATTTTCGAGTTTTCTTAGATTATTGTGGACTTAACTAGCTTAATTTTCTGAATTGTTTGATTTTATTTGTCGATTAAGCGGTCGCGACTAGATTATGATCTACTAATTCATTGCTGTTTTAAATTGTTCAGTATTAGATGCTGATTCTTTGCTTCCTTTTTTTGGCAGCTGGATTGGGCATTAGGGTTGCTTTAAAACCAGAGTATCGAATAACTCCTCCGGTAATAATTTCATATTTTTAATATATTTTCTGTTTTTTTAGTATTGTTTCGGTGCATTCTGTGTTTAAAAGTGAAGGATAGGTGGGAATTGATTATGAGATTTTTTTCCCTTTTTTTAGTCTGTATTTTGCTTGAATGCATTTTCTCAATTGGGATCTTTTGCCTACTGAATTGAGCTCTAGGAACTTAGCATTGCATTTTGACAGTTAAACTAATTTAAATTCCCATGCAAATTATCTTTTATGTTTTGAACTTGTTCATGTTATTATCATGTGTTTTGGGGTTACTGGAGCATGAACATCCTACTGCCTCTTGCTTGAGGGATAACATTCATGTGCAAGCATGGTAAAAGCCTCAAACAAATAACCAAAAGGTTTGTATGCTTTTGTAGTTGTTTTATCATGTGTGAGGAGTGACGACCTGATTGGATAGTTTTGATTTATTATTTTAACAATTACTTACCAGTTTAATGTTTTTTAATATTTCCATTCTTTTTATTTTTCCTTTCCTTCCTTCTTTATTTTGTTGCTACTAATTGATTATTTTTTGTAATCAAGCAACATTCATGTGTAAACGGGTATTGGGATATTTATAGCTTCAGGAAATCTTTATTTTGCCATATCATATGTCCCCCAGCTATGTGGGGTTATATTGTTAATTGTTTCTACTGCAGTCTTGAAGAAGAAAAACTAGTTTTCTGACATTTTGCTGCACCGGTTAATTACATATTTGCAGCCTCAGTTGATGCCACAAGCAGGAGATATTCCTCGTAGCAATTTCCGGTTTGATTTTGATCTTGAGAGAAAAATCATAGCTGAGGTGGAGAAGGAAAACCAGAATTGGAGCAGGATTGGGTTGGAAAATCTTCCGTCCAATGCTACAAAGTCAACATCCTCAGTGGTATGTTTCTTCCAATAGACATTGCAAATTTCTTGTATATTATGGCAGTTTTTAGGATGTTTTGGTTTATGATATGCATTTATTTATTTATTTATTGTTTTCATTTCTAATTATTCTGAACCATGCACGTTCTTATTGTTCTTAGGGGCTCATATTAAAAGAAAACATATGGGAGTGGGTTTAGCTATTGTTCTTGATTACAAGCTGAATGATCTGTAATAGGAGGCTTGATGATTGGTGTAAATTAAATATACAATATGAGAGTAGGCCTTTTTGCACCCTGTGGGCTCTGAAGAGGAGTTGTGATGTCTATTAGCTGGAGTGCCACTATGTAGAAAATGCTAAAAGGCAGACCATATCGTGATCTTATTGATGGTAGCTGGTATTTTATGGGTCCTTTAAATGTTTTTCGTACTCTGATTTGTGAGGACCCCTTTTAATTTGAGAAATCTTATAGTTGGAGTACCATTTTTCACTAAACAGATAAGGTTCTTGCCACTTTCCGTAATGCTTTGTTTACCATAAGTTATTTGCTTATAGTCTATTGCTTCTTGCAAGTGTTTCATTTTAGCATGATTTATTTATTAAATAATTTTCCTTTTCTAAGCCGGTACCATTTCAACTGCAGGGTTCTGTTGCTGATCCTGTAGTGAGCAAATATATTGCATCTGGACTCAGCCGAGAAGCTGTTCCTATTGCAGTTAAACATTATGGAGACAATCCAACGAAGGTACTATTTTTAGAATAGCATTTGTTAAAGCACAAAGTACTCCACATCTGCACCTGATGTACTTCACCATTTTCCATATAAACTACACATCAATTAGGTCTAAAGCTTGAAATAATATGGTCTCTTTTGGTGTGTTTAATCACCTGATATTGGAAGTTCTTATGCAAGATGGATATATTGAATTAAGGGTCTAGAACTCTATTTGCTTTAAGCTTAAAAGATGTAAGAAAGGGGGGGAAAGAATATTGAAGAGTGTTTGTTGAGTTGATTAGGAATTTAGGATCTTCCTACCTCCATGTTTTCAATTGGCAGAGAAAAATTGAGGTTTATTGGTGTTCTAAGAATCACTGGTTTTGGTTGTCCTGCCTGGGTCTAATTTCCTGACTTTTTCATTTCATGGTTGCGGAATGCCTTGAGAAGAAAATTTTGCTTCTGTCCTCTTCTCGAAAGTCACCTTTTCGAAGCTTTTTCTTTCTGACATTGTGCTTCTGAGTTTTCATTAGTTAATCAAATAATGCATTCTGTTTTTTCGGTATCTAGGTTCGTGAGTTTGTCAATAGTTTCAACCTCCTACGAGAAATGGGATTCTCAGCAAGCAGTGTTGCCGAGGCCTTGCTCATGTACGATAATGACAGAGACAAGGCGTTGTCACATTTCCTTAACAGCTCATCTTGATTATGCAGAGATCTAATGATTGTACGTGAGACCTTGCTGGAGTGATAGTTTCATACAAACAGTTATTTTCTGCTTTAGGTATTTAAGTGGACTGTGTTGTAAATATATATTCAGTGTTAAATTTTTTGATAATAAAAAATCAGATGGAATTTTAATTAATTTGAAATTAAATTTTGTTGGATTTTGTGAAAGAAAAGTCTTTTATTTATTTATTTTTTTTTATAAAACTTAAATTTAAGATTTATATTAAAAAAATTAAGTTTTCTTAACATGAATTAATAAATTGCATATGTATATATATATATATATAACTTAGGAAAATGTTGAAAACAGAATTGTATTACAAAAAGAAGTCTCGGTTCTCTAAGTTCAAATTTTAAAACGAGTATTAAGAAGTCGCTGGGAGAGGAGATGCATACCCCTTGATGTATGGATCCAGGTCAAATGTACCCAAAAAGAAAATTTTGAAAACAAAATTCTAACTCGAGTCCCAAAATAAATTTGCTGGCCCTGGCCCTGGCCCCTGCCAAATTGGGTATCCCAAAATGATGGAGCACAAACCGAGAATGAGAAATGGCCGGAATTAGGTAACCAACAAAACAAAGCAACGTGAAGATTTCAGACAAGACAACATCTTCTAGACCCGTGCCTAAGGTCGTCAAAAATATGGATGGGATCCAGAAGATTAAAAAATTGTGGACCTTGTGACTTGTGAGTCCTTGGTAGTATCTTATTCCAATTTTTTTGGGTACAAGTATCTTATTCATATTGATATCTTCAACTCAATTTTGTTTTTTTAATTTTTTTGTTGAACTAGTATAAGTTGGGGATGAGGAATGGGAATATCAAGGCTTCAACCTTGGTTGGTGGTGCCGCCACTTTTTTTTGAAAGAGTTGTGTCCATTAAGTCATAAAATTGCTTTGCTTTTATTACAAGGTTTTATTAAATTTATACTTTTGATTGAGCTAAGATTCTTGTAATCAAATGAATTTTTATTAACTAAATTATTAAAATTCATTTGCCAAAAAGAGAAAAAAAAAAACATAAGTAATGATATAGAAGATGAAAATTTAGGAGTAATGATGTGGTATAAGTTATGTCATTAAATAAACTAATCCATAATATTATAGGTTTTAATAAAATAAAAAATTTAATAATTAAATAATATATGATTTATTTTTTAATATTTTAAATGACGTAATTCATATAATGTCATTGGTTTTAAATTTTGGTCCCATAAAATTCTTAAAATTTATCATTATTTAAAAAAGATAGGTCACAAAAAAGTGAGACTATGCTTGACATTTTCCTATTCATATTGCCTAAATGATTAGAATGGTTAAGTCAATGACGTAAATGGTCAAGTAATAATCCCTCTTCTAAATGAATAAATAACTTCATGTTTAGGTTGCATTTCAGTGAGGTAAGTTAAAAAATAGAAAAAGAAAAGTCATTGTGCAACCCAAAATAATACTCCGTTAAACTAGCAATAACCATATAGTAATAATTAATTAAAATAGGAATTATATTTACAAATAGTATTCATTTAGTTACTATACTTTCACTCACATGCAATATGTAAAGAGTTCTAATACGAAACTCTACTTTGCCATTCCTATTTTAATATAGTAATTAATTAAAATAGGAATTACGTTTAAAATTAGTATTCATATGGAGTAGTAATTAAATTTTTATGCCAAACTAATAAAAAAAAAAATTAGCCATCACCATATATACATAGTAACGTAGTAATTAATTAAAAGATGAATTACGTTTACAATTTGTATTCATCTAGTTGCTATACTTTCTCTTAATTAAATGCAATATGTAAAGAGTTCTAATACGACACTCAACCTTGCTCCTCTCACATCTCACCTAATTTTTGTGTTCTTGTTTCAAGTTTTTTATATAATTACATACTCCTTTTGCTTATTTTTAGTAAATTTATTTTTTTTATTTTTTTATTTTTAAAACATAAATTTTGAAAGAAAATTTAACAATTTATATGAATAATAATTAAAATTTTTTTGTCCTTATATATAATTCTTGTTAAGTATTTTTATCATATAAAAAATTTTAATTATTATTTATATAAATTATTAAATTTTTGTCTAAAATTTATATTTTAAAAATTAAAAAAATCAAAATAAGTCTATTAAAAATAAATGAAATGAGTACCCTTTTGCATAGGGTACAAATACAATTGTATAAATCTTTGCAATTTCATTTTGTATATTATGCAATTTGAATTCAGAATTTTTTATTCTCAATAAAAAAAATTATTACTAAACTATTTAAATTGTTGATAACAAAAATTTAGTAGCATTAACAATAAGAGAAATGCCTTGAGTGTAGCTTGCACTCGGATTGTGATGTACTTGAATAAAATATTTTATTTTAAAAAATTAAAAGTTAAAAAAAAATAAAAACCTAATAATAAAAACAAGAAAGTGCATGTAGATTGAGGCTTACCTCGTGTGAATGTAATGTATAACTCCTTTTAAAAATTA